TCCTAAGTGGCCTGCTTTCTTCTTTCCGCTGCGATTGGAGCCAGGGAAGGCCAATAACCAAACCCCCCCCCCTCCTCCGTCCTTTTTTTTCCTCTGGACATACCTTTGTTTTCAACTTTGGAGGCAGAGCTGGACGGGGAGATCCAGCACAGTCACAGCCTGCTCTCTGGTGCGGTGTTTGCACTCAAGTCGTACACGGTGTGCTGGATTTTAAGTGCAGCCACGCACATTACTTCCTTCCATTTTAGAAATGTAACTAAACACCAGATATTAGGACATAACGTTCCTATTCGCAAAGTACGGTGCATTTAGTTGTGAGGCTCCTGGGATTAAACTATTAATCGGATGTAGATAGGAGGCCTATACAACTTCTGATGAATGATGGTAATAACGAATACGGTATCATTCCCAAGACTGAACTCACTAACCCCCTTTAATAACGTGGTGTATCTCCGTTAGTGTTTATTGCTTACATAAACATCCATGTGATCATAGTGCTTATTGTTGCTGTCTGCCAGTTGCGTGGGTGGATCACTTTAAATCGAAGGATTGTTTGTTGAAGGTGGAGTGGTTGTGTGCCTTCCAGTCAAAAACAGTGAGCACATGCATAGATTACTCCAGCGTTGCTTTTTAATCAACTTGCCCACTGCAGAAACGGTAAAGAAAGTTTAAAAAAAAAAAAAAAAAACACAGGATATAAAATTGATTATTAGGCTCAGTTTGCTCAGTTGCAACTCTTTATTTCTCTTAACAATATTGAAAATAGATATTTACAAAAATGCTGCTTTGGGAAGCTATCCACAAGAAAAGCTCAACATAAATAAGTTAGTATAATTTCAGTGTTTTTAAAAAAAATAAAATTAAAAAAAAAAAAAAGGGGGGGGACACAGGTACACTTCAAAGTTTCACACCAGATGAGGCAGTGTCACTTTGTTTTTCTGCCCTCCAAAACGAGAAATTAAAAAAAAGAAAAAGTGCAATTACATGTTTGACATGAATTCTACACCACAAATACAACTCTTTGATTCACATATTTGCATAATAAGTAGCAGTGATTTTAACATATTTAATCTATGTTGAAGTGGGATACACTTATGAAATGGGGCGGATTGTGGAGCCACCAAGGCCACAAAAATATGGATTTAACCAATTAAAAAAAAACGCTAATTCTTAGGATTAGTAGCGAATGTTAAAATTTGGTTGGATATTGCTCAGCAGTTTTGCCACCCCTCCCTCCCCCCAACATAAGACAATAACTTTGGTAAAAAAAATAAAAAAATTGCAAAATAAAAAGTGTAATGGGAGGGGGCCCATACTTGCATGTAAACTTTATCTTTCATGGCTGTTCCCAGTTAGATAGAGCCTCGACTTACAGTGTGGCCATCTGAGCCTTCAAAAAAAAAAAAAAAAAATAGAACACTGGGACAAATAAAGCCATAGAAAAAGTGAAGACGTTTTGTTTCCACACAACCCTGACTTCTGAAATCTGCATTTTTAACTTACATCAATTACCTGAATGAATGATACAATATGACCACAAAAATAATATCTCTGTTGGAAATTGCACTGCAACTTCTCGAGTCAAAATTCACACGTATCCAAATACATTTAACAAAAAGTATAAAAAGCATTAGTATGCTTTTTTTGTTATGTGCTACATCTGAAACATAGGTAGTAGATAAAAAAGAAAAAATGAGCAACACATTTGCTCATTTGCATACTGCTACATTTGTCTGCTGCTTCTGAGGCAATTTGATTAAAAAAAAAAAAATTGAGTGCCAAAACTTGATAGTGTACATATTCAGTGCTCCTGCAGCCTCCCCTCCGCCTTTCCATTGGCCAAAGACTGCTTTTGGCCAATTTATACGTTCCCAGCTGTCAGACGATGAGAAAAGGACTACAGTATTCCACCAGCGACGGGCCTCCACGCGCTGCGGGACGCGGAGAGGAAACAGCCTGTTTGAATGGTGCAATTGAAAAAGCGGTTGCTCGTGCTCAATGTCCCCAATACAGACACACGCTCGCGCGCACACGCACGCACGCGCTCGCGCGCACCAAGGGGAAACAGTCAAAGCACAAAGGGGTTGTGGAAGATTAAAAAAAAAAAAAAGGGGAGGGGAGGGGAAAGGAAACAAAATACAAGTTTAAAGGGCTGATGACGTGTAACTGCCGCGTACGGGACGATTGTGTCGCGGATGATGACACACAAAAGTCCACTTGGCGTCCATGGCAACGGCCGGTGGTCAGTACTTCACACGTTGAAAACGTGAGTGTCGTGATCCATTGTAAATGTCTTTCGTAAACAGTGGAGTAGATTTCTAAGCTATAGCACCGTTTTTCTCACTGCACGCGCTCCTCCTCCTCCTCCTCCTCCTCTTCAAGCGCCTGACCCGCTGCACCGGGATCTTCCTCATCGTCACCGTCATCTTTTGACTTTTTACTCATAGACTCGCTGGAGCAGGATCCTGCCAGACATTCACAAAACAAAATTAAAATAATAATAATAATAATAATAAACGTTTTAGATTAAAAATGAATAAATTAAAAAAAGAAGAGTAAAATGTATAACTGGTGTACCACACCTGCGTAAGATTACTACTACCCCCCTTCAATAATAACAACTATTAAAATCACTATAACATCTGTAATGCAGATGATCGGACCCCCCCCCCCCGGGCCCCTGGGAGCGGGGACCGACCGATCGTAGCCGCGGCGGGTCAAGACCCCGGACACAAATGGTACGCGCTTTCTGCACCCCCCCCCCCAAAAAAAGCGCGTCCGCAGCATTTACATAATAAGTCAGAGAGCAAAAAAAATAAATCACCTGAAGCCGATGCTCTTTTCCTCGAGCCGCCTCGGTCCGGCGGAGCCGCCCGCCGCTCGCCGCCGCCGCCGCCGCCGCTGCTCTGCCCGGCGTCCCGTCGGCCGTCCCGGACGTCTCCCCGCGGCCGCCGGCTCCCGCGGTGCGGCTGCCTGACGTAAAACTCCGGGGGGTCGCTGTTCTCTCTGCCAGTCGTAATTGTTGTTGTTGTTGTGAATCGGAGAAAGCGGCCTGTCGGCGACCGGATCGAAGTTGTACGTTTCCTTGAAATCCTTCACACCTGCCCGTATGGGAAGCCGCCAAATCACGCCGTATCTCCTCCGGTTCGGGCCTGCCGAAAAGGTTCTTGCAGACCGACGGTCTGGCGGGCGTCCGGCTGACGCACGTCCACCCTCTCCACCGTCGGGCTCGCGTTAGAAAGGCGAACTTCTGACATTTTGTTGCACATAGGACGAGGGGAAAACACACACGCACACACACGCGCAAACAAACAAGCGAGCCCTCTCTCCTCCCCCCCCCACACCACCACCCACTTTCAAAGTTATATTTACAAGTAGTACTCCTTTAAAACGCCGAGTCACGGGGATGATGCGTGCACAGTCCGCGCGTAACATCCAAAAACGCGTCAGCGCAAAAGATCGGAATGAAGCGTCTCCAAGGGCGCACGGGCGTTTTACGTAAGCCACTCCTGTCAGGTCCGTAGTAACGCTGATGAAAACAATGAGTCAAGTCACGGAGACCAACATGGCGTTGGAGGGAGCAACGAGTGGAGGAGAGAAGTTGACATCAAGGACTATTTAAACAGAGAAGGCGATTCATTGGTCTGCGCACAAGGACCGCCCAGTGAGCGCTCTTAAAGTCGAACGGGGCCCCAACGCAGAGCGCGATTGGATTAACGCCACACATCAACATGACCCAATTAATCTGTTGGGTGGTTTAAATACTATATAATAATACTTTGCTGTATCTTTCCCGTAGGACTTGATTTGTCACAGCGAGCATCAGGTTAGACCTTCACAGGACGCCCACAGGTCAAAGACACCACTGGATCGCCGTCTTGTCTGACAACAAATTAAAAAAAAAAAAATACAAACACAATGTTAAGGGCTTTATCTCCCTGCAGGAGTTCAGCGTGAGGTTTTGCTCCAGGCTGGTAACACAATCTGTGGAATTAATCGTTGAATGATTGCCTGAGTGCTGACAGATATGATTGCACAATCTGACTCCGTGTCATTAAAGCTCGAGGCCCCTATATACACTTTATTACAATGTCAGGGCCATTGAAGGAAAACAATAAAAGAGTTACAAATCTGCTTCCTGGCATTCTGGGACAACTCTCGACATCCGCTTCGTTGGCACGGTGCCTATCGCTGTCAGACTTTGCCAGCGTTGCCACAGAGGTGGTTTGTGTGCATCACCGGTTGTAATTGCTTATGTGTGCTTGGAATTTAAAAAGGACACACAAAGAGCGGTGCAGCCTTAAAAGAAGACAAAACCAAGACCTTGAAATATACCATTTCCCTGTGTTGCAGCTTCCAGTTTGCACCTAAGCAATTATTGACTCAAGATTTAGATTGGTGTTCTTGCCAAGACATACAGTAAGTAAGTAAAAAGATTGTGTGCGGGTGTGTGTGTGTACATTTCAGAGCTGCATAGGAGTGATTGGATCTGGAACAGTATGCACTCCTTGTACCCAGGAGTTCACAATGTCCCGACTTAAAACTCCACATCGAATGTCACTGTGCACTCCTCTTCAGCATTTGCCAGAAAAAGAAAAAGGAAAAACCTGGGCCCGTCTTAACTGCCACGCTGTTTCAATTAGTCCTCTAAACGTCGAACAGCTTGTGATGAAACCAGCGAGGCCATCTGTTATATCAATGTTATCGCCGGGATCACACTCAATCCATAATGTGTTTATGCTGCTGCAAACTGTGCACGGTGTTGCACGGAGGCATCCCCCCGAGGTCGGAACAGATTCTGGGCGGAATAACCAAACAGCGAGAAAAAGGGGGCACCAGAACATTTTGTTTGGTCAAATGACGAAATGGAAGTAACTGTTTAACACAGCGAATGATGCGTCCGTGGCAGATTCTGTCACTAAAAATGAACACTAGTTACACAATAATTTGGATCCAATATTGAACACACAAAAAAACTGAAAAAAAAACAGAAGAAAAGGTCACTGTGTGTATTTTTTATAGCTTCAGAATGAACAGAAATGACAATGTTTCAACTTCACAGAAGTTAGCAGTGCAACGTTTGCCCATAAATGCACCCATAAAAAGGATGTCCTTAGTTAGAGATAATTACTTCCGTAAATGGGAATGTTTCCATGTGTTGCTAAAGTGTAATAATATGGGTAGTATTTTTCCTTTTCTAATATAAAATGGGTGTTTAAAATATTCCAAAACAGGCATTATTAATGAGGAACAAAAGTAACATTGTGAATTATATGTTTTTCACTCTGCAAAGGGCAGTGAAGCCGTCTCTTATTTTTTTAAATCAGTTACCCAGCAACTTGGAAAATAGTGAACGGTCAAATTCATCATCCTTCACATGAGATATTAGCATTATTTTGAACCGTTTTAGGGAGTTGTTTAATTAGAAAGCGAGAGCTAGTGTAGGACCTTTTTACCTACATGAAATCAGTGAGACCTTTTCTTGCGTCTAAAAATACAGATGTAGAAGAAAATGACAACCTTTTTAGCACAAAGGGATGATCTAGTATTATTCTGATGTGTGGTGTTAATTTTCCATCCAAAATGAAAGCCATGCCAATAAATTACAGGATGTTTTCATGTGCCGTTTGTAGAGTTTAGTTCCGTATGGCTTTGATGAAGAGAGCTGGTACTGGAGGCCGACTCATTCCTCCTCTTTTTGAGAGTATGTCATAGACCTCTACTTGTCAGATGACTTGGAGCTCTGCTTCTTCTTAGCCAGCTCAGCCTGGATCTGACGTGGGAACTGCTCCAAGTGCTTGTTCACGCAGCGCATGCAGAACCTCTTGGTGTAGAAAAGACTGCAGTCCTGAGAGAAGATAAATCACAGTCCGGCAACAATGGCTCTTTAGTCACGTTCAGTCCAAGATGGGAAGACAAATCTGGATCAACGGGTTCCAAGAGCATCGGTCGTGAAGTTCACCCAGCACATATAAATGCCATATGATTGCCAAGTCATCTGAGGAAAACGGCCAAGCCACAGATGCATATTTTACAGCCAGTGACCCACAAGTGGGGGAAACAGTCACAGGAGCTGAGCTTAGCTTAGCTTTCAAAGCGGAAATCCATGAGCACGTCTAACCGATGAAGGTATCACTTCAGAATTACACGATCACATGTTTTAATCCTTGCAGAGAGAAGCAATTAAACCTTTAAGACGACTTACCGACCCAACACAAACACGTGTGTCGCACAGGCTGCAGGCGGAACCCAAAACAAGAAACTTTTCCCTGTCCGGACTGAAGGGGTCCTGGGTCACAAAACACTCCTCAAGCAGCCTGTTGGAGGAGACATGCAGATGTGAACGCACGCGTGACCATTCGTGCAAACGTAACGACGTCAGACGGGGTCATTTAGCGGAGTGTTTGACGTTTATAGGACCTAGCGTTAGCAGCTAGCTAGCAAAGTTAGCATAGCTAGCTCATTAGCACTAACGGGAGCTCTTGATGTCCACTTACACAATGGCTCTGGTGTTTGGTGGTTTCTGGCCGTGGTAAGTGAAGGGGCTGCTTAACTCGCACACCTGGCATGTAAATATTTTTGGACGAGGGTCGCTTGTAGTTTGCTCCATCTTTTCGAAGCCGAGGAGCAGAACAAGTCACTTCCTGGTTTTTCCGCATCGAGGCGTGTTGTTTTCGTAGCGGTTTAGCGCCCTCTAGTGGAGTGGGGATGCAACATGCGCACACACAGAAGTATTAGATATAAAGACAAATAATACAATATAAAATTACAATGTTTTATTAAAATGCCTCAAACGAATGTGGATTGATATTATAGAAAATATGAAAGCGCAGTGAACCCGCAGAAATGACATGGATTATTTCCAGTAAGGACACATTTTTACAGCACAACTTAAGTGAAAGGAAAAGCACAAGTGTAGGAGCGGTCGGTAAAATCAACCCGCATTTGCTCGTATTGTCAATTCAATATTCTTCATTCATTATTCCGCAAAAACAACCTAAATCACACTGAAAATTGACGGAGAATCCAATGCGCAATGCGGTCAAAAATAGTATCTCCTTCCGCTCTCGAAATAGAAAACACACCTGGCCTTACTCAGGTGACATTTAAATAGCAGACGCCCCCTGACGTCATCATTACATCATCACAAATAAATCAACAGAAAAGGCAGTTTCATTATGCACGATACAAATGTAGTGGAATGGCTTCTACACTCCGGCCCCTAATTGACCGGTAGAGGACAATTCATACATTTAAACATATGAAGCACATTCTTTAGAGTCCTTTGTCTCGTGTCCATAGAATTAAGAAAAAAGGCCAAAAATATAATCCATTTAGTTTCGATAGTACTTTTTGCAAAACGGGTTCAAAAAATTCCTGAGAAAAGGAAAATGAGTTCTCACAAGGGTCGAAGAAAAGGTGGGTAAAGTCTATTCGAGGATCTAATCAGGGCATGTTTTGTAGAAGGCAGAGCTTTGTGATGGGCCTTTCCAAGGTGCCATTTTGTGTCCTGATCTTGACACGACATACATGTCCCCTTTTGTCGGGAAAGGTTTCCGTGATTCGGCCCATAGGCCAGGAGTTGCGTGGTGAGCTTTCATCGATGATCAGCACTATGTCTCCATACTTTAGGTTCCTTTTGATCTTATTCCATTTCTGTCTCTCCTGTAGCAATGGGAGGTACTCTCGTATCCAGCGTTTCCAGAAGAGATCCGCTATATACTGACTCTGCTTCCATCTTCGTCTGGAATAGGTATCACTTTTGTCGAAGAGTCCAGGTGGAAGAGTCGGCATTCGCTTCATTTGAAGCAGGTGGTTGGGTGTCAGAGGTTCTGGATCATTTGCATCTTGGGATAAGACTGTGATGGGCCGGTCATTCATGATTGCCTCTACTTCACATAGAGCTGTTTGGAGACTCTCGCCATCCAGGATCTGTTCCCTTGTGATGGAGTAGAGGTTCTTTTTTATCATCCGGATGAGTCGTTCCCATACGCCTCCATGATGAGCACCATAAGGGGGGTTGAATGTCCATTTGATACCTTCAGCGTGCATCGAATGCTGGATCTTGCTGAGGTCAAGGTGTGTAAGTGCTTCTCGAAGCTCTCGTTCAGTCCCGACAAAATTAGTACCGTTATCGGAAACAATTTCTTTCACTTGGCCTCGTCTGCAGATGAATCTTCGCAGTGCAGAAATACATGAGTCTCCAGATGTACAGCTCTGCTTGCTAAGCACGTAAACAAGGCTCCATACCGTTTTACTTTGCTGCGGTCGCGCTTGACTTCTATGGGCCCGAAGTAGTCTAGTCCTGTATGGGTGAAGGGCGGCAAATCAGGTGTTATCCTGTGTAGCGGTAGGTCGGACATTTTTTGTGTCATTGCTGTGCCATGCCATCTCCTGCAAAGTACACAGTCCCTTTGTTATCTTTCTTGCAGCAGAATTTACTCTTAGAATCCAGTATTTTGTCCTGAGTTTTGCGATAAGTTGATTTCTTCCACAATGAGCCATCAAGGTGTGGGTGTGGTGTAGGAGTATCTTTGACAGGTGGTTGTCCTTGGGTAGAATAGCAGGATGTTTGGTTTCCTCTGGCATTGACAGCTTACTTAGTCTGCCTCCGACTCTCAGGATTCCATGTTGGAGGATAGGATCTAGTCTATAGATCCTACTGTTTCTCTTTATGGGTAAGCCCCTTTGTAGAGAGGTCACCTCATCTTTGAAGGATTGTTGTTGGACATAAGACACAAGTGATTGCTCTGCCTTGGCTAAATCCTCCACGGACAGCTGCGACCCAGTTGGGTATGTGTTACTCATTTTCTTTAGTCTCAGAGTTTCTTTGAATTTTAAGATCCAGGCTGATGATCGGATCAATTTGTTCCATGATGAGAAGTGTTCAATAAAACGAGTCAGTGGCCTTTCATTCTGCAGTATACTTGTAGTGAAAGCGGAAGGAGATACTATTTTCGACTTGGTGTAGGAGCGGTCGGTAAAATCAACGCGCATTTGCTCGTATTGTCACTTCAATATTCTTTATTCATTGTTCGGCAAAAACAACCTAAATCACACTGAAAATAGATGGAGAATCCAATGCGTAATGCGTAATGCGGTCAAAAATAGTATCTCCTTCCGCTCTGGCCTTACTCAGGTGACATTTAAATAGCAGACGCCCCCTGACGTCATCATTACATCATCACAAGTAAATCAACAGAAAAGGCAGTTTCATTATGCACGATACAAATGTAGTGGAATGGCTTCTACAACAGGTGTAATGAATCACATGTGTCTCACTAGGACATTTAAATAGTACCACGCTGTCATTAACATTATTAGTTCCACCTGTGTTTTTCCCGCCACGCCGTCGCTTAGTTTGTGGAGGGAAAAATATGTTTGCAGATGCATTTAAACACATATTAGCCACGTAAAAAAGCCACGGTATTACAAATAAAAGTGAAATATACTCAGTTTATTTGAAACTACCACATGGCATAATTCATGTTATTGAAACAGCAATTTTATTTTTATTGTACACTTCATGATACAAAATATAAACAGTGTTTTAATACGACATCGGCGGTCCAGCACAGCAAAGGAGGCAACCAGCTCCTCCTATTCAACGGCGGTTTCACAGTCAGCGAAAACCTTCAGTGTGGTAACCACATTCCACATTATGTTTACAAAATAAAACATAATCCAGCTTAACATATTATTGTGCTTGTAGTCAAAACATTCACTGGGCAATAATGAGTCTTAATGGCAGGACTTGTGCAAAAAAAAAACCTTAGGTAACAAGAGTTGTCATGTTATGATGGTTTTTAGCAGAAGGTCAAGGATTCAAATACATTTTATTACACATGAAATTACAATATGTTCAAACAATGGCTGCATAAATTGACTGCATTGTTGTTCATGATTGATGTGCGAACATTCTCTGACCCAACACTAAACAGACAACTGCCTTGTTCTGTGCTAAATGTAGTATAGAAAATATGAATTCTCTAAGTTTGAAACATTATGGCACACGTTGAATAATGACGAAGGTGTTTCTTCACCCAATCCTCTCAAACTGGTGGCAGGTAGATTGTTGCTGATTTCAATAAGGTACTAGTACACAATGAAAGGACATTGCAAAGCTGACTCTAATCTTATGAGTTGAACTAACATGCGCTAGATTTCCAAAATAAATGAAATACTTTAATGTTGATTTGCCTACTGCACAACCAACACCTAATTTACCTCAAGGATTAAAATATCATTTCTCCAACAGCGCTGCTTCTTTTACAGTTCAAGATTAATATTTATTATCAGTGCATACATGACTGCAGTGGCCATGTCCAGATGTCTTTATTGGGTGTACACCATTTGTAAATGTTGCCATGTCCGCCTCTCATTTAGCTTTTGATCAGTCTGCAGAGTAAAAGCGGGCGTCCGGGACCCAATCCATAGCAATTTGCTGCTCTGAGGTCGATCCATTACAAAACATTTCTACACATCTATGGTGTAAGATCAAAAAAGTTTGTTCTCCACTGTCTCCCCTTTCAGTGAAACACCGACCAGAGCTGCTTCTCCCCTGCAGATCACAGCAGTGTGCAGCCCACGTTGATGTGCACGCTAGTATCAGTACAAATTTACAGACGCACAGTTTCCACTGGCCTACATAAATAATCCAACGCATGTCTCCGTTCATGACCACGTGAGATCCACTCAGTACATGTCCCTATATATCTCCTGCAGGAGCGGGTGCAGCGACGTGTCCTCTGTTGTCTTGATTTCCTGGACCAACTGAGCATGCTCGGTGACCAGCTGCCGGAGGTCAGCCAGCTTCTGCAGCAGTCTGGGGAAGAGGAAGCTGTCGTCCGGGTGATTGGCCAGCAGGTGGAGCCGGAGTGCCTGAACGATGCTTTCCTGCAGCCTCTCCACCTGAGGCACATCCACCAAGCCTGGCCGATCTGGAGGGACGGGATCAGGGACACGTGGAGGAGGATTCAGATTGCATTCTGTGCAAATTTGCACCCTTTTGAGCACTTTTTTTATTGTTTTTTTTAAACAATAATTACCTCCGCAGCAGATGATGGCAGCGACAAAAAGGGCCAGGTCGCTGTCGTCCAGCTCCAGGGAGTTGAAGCGTGTGGCAAACTGGAATTTTGGCTCCATCATGTCGCTAAATGGCCGCCGGCGGCTCTTGAGGAACTCTCGGGTGATGAAGCCCCCACCGCGGGCCACCAGGAGGCCGTCTTTGTTCATGCAGGAGGCCAGGAGGGTGAAAAGGGCTTCATAAACCCCATACTTTAACAAGGTCACCTAAAAAATAAAAAATAAAAGTAGGAGGGCCACAGCAGGACTCTGAGGCGCCGGGACCTTTTCTTGCCACATAATCAAACATCCAACATGAACACAAACGACTGTGGTTCAAGTGAAGCCTGCGATACACCACCACCAAAGCCCACCTGGTCATTAAGATCCAGGTTCAGGAAACCCGGCACCGCCTTGGCAAACTCCGTCAGCTCCGTGACCGTCTCCACCGAGGTGCTCTGGCAGCAGTGGAAGAGCCTGGCTTCAGCCTCCCGTTGCTGGAGTTCCCCGCACGCAAGCACCTGCCCGGCACGAAGCCTGCTCCCGAGCTCCGGACCGTCGCCGTTTCCCACCTGGGCCGCCAACGTCCTCTCTGCCAGCTGGAACGTCTCCATGTCGTGAATGATGAAAGGCTGCGGGGGGGAAAGACGAGGCCGATCCAATGTCAGGAGGCGGGGTTGGTCACTCTTCATCCCTCAGATACATAATCATATTATTTCATTATTCACCGGCTTGCTCGTCTTCCCGGTGAGTATGAGCCGAGCTTTCGCCTTGTTCATGTTGAAGTTAGTCACGTAGGCTTCGTGGATCTGCCCGACCAGAGTCTTGTGGTCGGTCAGCGTGGGGCTCGCCACCTCTTTCTCCACCATCTTGGATTCCGCCTTCAGCTTCAGCTTCTCCGCCTGAGGCATCCGACCGAAGCGGATGGCTGGTGCACAGACACGCTCATCAATTAGCAACAGCGAGAAAGCTTTTCTTCAGAAATTTGTTGCCGTTATTTTACAGAAAACATGCACAGAGACATCCGACACAACACACAAAAAGTGCCCTCCCTTCCCCCATCAGATCTGGTGCGTTATGTTCCCGTCTCTCTCTTGAGAGAGAGGACAACATGTCGGCCCCCTCTCGGGTTTCTCAAAGCTCAAATCTGCAGTGGGAGGCCAACGAACCCAGCGACCGCTCGGCAGTCAGAGCAGTTGACGGGCCAGATGTGGAGCGATGAGCCTGTGCTTTGTCAGCGGCGAGCCGGCCGACGTGAAGCACGTTGACTGCGAGCCAAACCGCGTTAGGACACATGCTGTTGTCTAGAACGCGTACGTACCGCGTGTCAACTCGGGGGTCCGGTTAGCAGAGTTTTGTGTAACTGTATTTATGACACATGAGTTCTGTCCTTGCTGTATATCATTAATTGAGTTAATGTAGACTGTAAAGCAAGAGATTTGAACGTTCTTTTAGAGGTGGAATTTGTTAATTTGCAGTGGTTTGGCAGTCAGAACTTGGAGTGGGACGATCCTCAGCAAGATAATGTTCTATTCATTGACTTCATGACTCTTCTCTGCTGCTACTGCATTTAGCATTATCCTTTGCTGTACTTGTCACTTGAGGGCTGTTGTTTAGCAAACACAGAGGACGTAAACCACGTGGAATGTTTACCATTGTGCGACATGCCCACAGAGAGGCACTTGTGGAATCGGCAGTACTGGCACTTGTTGCGGTTCTTCTTTTGGATTTTGCATTTGTGTTCGCACTTATCATACTCCAGCTTCAGCCTGATGGTCCGTCTGAAGAAACCCTGGTGGAGACAGAAAGGCACACGCGGTCATATGAAGATCAAGCAAACTGCTTTGAGTTGAAGAAGTCCACATACATGCTGTTGCGGTACTCCAGCCCAGGTCAGACCTCATGGAGGGTCTCGATCTCAATCCCTACCTCTTGCCTTGCAGGTCAGAAATGACATTTCAATATCAAAGATGCTACATTTCTGCGGTTCTGATTTCCATGAGATGATTGGACTCATTTCTTTGCTTGTGAGTTTTTATTATTCTCATTTAACTATTAGTATTTAGAAGACGTGGTCATTTTATGAAGCGGCGAGGACCGCAGCCGTTTACACACCACATGTCGTACATGTACATATGCATCACCTATGACTGGCGTTATTACACTACAGTCTAGTTTGGACTGTATAGTGTAATTACATTTATTTTTAAAGAGCAATGGAGCAGACATCTTGCAGCCCTCTGACTCACACTGGGATACGCGGCAGCGGGCCAACGCATGCTAACACACGTCAAGCTGACAAATCTGCCCAAACCAATGATCCTTTGACCCACAGTCTCACACACCTGGATATTTCAGCCATAACATTCCTCATCCCTCACCGTGGAAGCGGTACGGATTTCTGGCACTAGATCTGGAGCAATAAGCCGGCCACCATCTTGGGCTCGTCTGCCTTCATGTTGAAGACAAGACTGTTATTGAGCGTTATTATTTTGTCTCAGAAACGTTTTTGTGGTATTTCAAACCAATAAAAATACTGGAAAACTGGATAGTTTCATCATGGAAACAGAGGGGGGAAAATGTGATGGTCCAGGCATATGGTAGTCATCAAAAATACATACAACAGAACTGCAGGAGGACAAAACAGATGTGAATGCCTCTTCTAGTCCGTGTATGGGTGTACAGACACTGACACAACCAGTGCTTTGCTTTGATATACAGCTGTGAGTAGCTGAACGCGGTTTCTACAATGCGTTCTTAAGGGCAAATGTCTTGAGGTGAAATCAAATGAAAAAGCTCGAGTTCGGGGCATCTTTGTGGATTCAAGCTGCTGAAGGCCTTCTGCAAACGCCCCGGACCAACGATAAAGCGCCCTCAACTTCAGCTTTAATCCTCTCGCGCAGAAGCATGACGGCACAATCCTTTCACATTCCCACGAGCCAGCGGCCCTCTCTTAAGGCGAGGTGTTGAAAGTGATACGCGGAGCGCGTACCGTGACCGCCTCGCGTCCTTTTTCCATGACGGCAAAATATCAGCAGTTTGAGCATTTTTTTCAGGAACAGAGTGTCAAAATACTCCCCACCCATGTTCAGCGTCCCAACGGTTTCAGTTACCCTGCTTGAGCGCGTTAGCCGCCTGACGCCAGGGCCGACGGGTTTAACAGAAGTCCCTGTTGACTCTGATGAATGATAAGTGGGTCGGACGGTCACACGTGCATCGTGCAAACAGACAGATCATCTTGCACTGGTGGAAAAATGGCATAAAAGAGTGAAATGTCGGACTCTGTCCAGCAGGGCAAAGGGAGTGATGGTGGAAGAAAACGAAAGAGGAGAACACTAGTAGCTGGTAACTCTGTCCAACCCCATAACAACCTCAGATGGGGGCTGCAGTGGAGCTCACGGGACTTGATCCGGGCGCTAATGATCCGTCATCCAATGACATCGTTGCACTAAAGAGTCCTCTCCGTCCTGTGGAGCTGAACGCATTCAGCCCCGACGGCTACCTTTTTATTGTGACGAATCACATGAACGCCAACCAAAAGTGTCCCCTATCGTGTGATCCCAGCGATGACTCTGCATGACGGTCACATCCAGTAATGTTCCAGCAACAGCTCAGTGTGTGTGTGTGTGTGTGTGTGTGTGTGTGTGTGTACAGGTGCTTGTGTGTATTAACGTCACTCAGTTGGGCCGAGTCCCGAGCGGCGGAGAGGTGGCAAGTCGAGCGAGGCCGCCATGTCCCCCTCCCCGCCTCACATGACCCTGGCTGCCTCAGAAACTTTCCACTGGTCCGCAGATCAGGCGCCTCCGCAGGCTGAGGGCTGTTTTTGCTGCGTGTGTCACGTCGGTACACAACCACAGGCACGCGTGTGGTTGTGTACACGTGAGTGTGCGTGCATTTGGGCTCACCTTGCAGCCCTCACAGGCGTGCACGCCGTAGTGGAAGCCGGAGGCCTTGTCCGAGCACACCCGGCACTCCAGGTTGAGGGGGCCGGAGCCCCCCTCCGGACTGGGGGCGGCGGCGCACACCCCCGACGAGGGACTGGAGGCTGGGGTCAAAGTGTCTGCGGCGCGACAACAAAGCAGAAAGGAGACGACGGCGGGTGACTTCGCCGGCTGACCTTTGAACAAATTCATACGTGCACATTTGGGGGGGGGGGTGGGGGACTGCTGCTCCTGCTCTTAACACACAACGTTAACTAGTGAGCCTTGGGTTTAGGTCTTTAAGCAAAGCTCAATGACAGCTGGCTGCATAGGCTTAGCTTCATTCTCACAGTAGCCTTCAAATATAGACGTGGCATTCAAGTTCTCATCAAAGACCTGGCAAGAAAGCTCAATTGACAAACCTTAAAGATACCAACTCCAAAAATGATTAACCTGCTCTGTCGCTTTCAATCGTATGGTCTCGTTTCAAGATCGAGCCTTTGTGAAGCGAACTGGTAAGATGAAGAAAAATCGACGATGTAGATGAAGGAGACCAACAGGCCGGATTTGTCTGCGGGGATGATGAAACAGTGGCTACAAAACCTTATTTTATGTTACAAACATCAGGAATATAAACATATTAAACAACCAGTGACAACAAAGGCAAACAAGAACCTGACCCGTTGTTGCATTCAGCATCAGCAGATAATCAGAACGCTGGCGATATCTGACGCTCAACAAACAAATGTACCACAACAATGATGGCGAGAGTCAGACGTCTGTTCAATAGATCAGGATTTTGAGTCCTGTCAGAAAGCTGATTAGTAACGAGGCTTCTTTTGTTTGTGTGTCGTCTTTCAAGTGCTGCTCAGGAATTCGGAGACAGCATCATCAATCCGGAGACACAAGAGGTGAATGAATTGTTATCTAATCTCCTGAAATCAGGCGGTCGGTCTCTTGCGAGAGGCGTCTGGAGCCCAAGGTTCAGAAGGTCAATTTCTAACGTGACTCGTCCTGTCAACCGAGCGACAAACACCCCTGGAACCGCGACGGCGCTCGGCCACTCACCCAGTGCGACGGAGCTCTCGGACCCCGAGCCGGTGCTCCGGTACACCGGGAAATCGAACCCCAGGGCGTCGTCTCCGATGGACCGGGAGATGTCGCGGAGGTCCTCCATCAGGTCTCCACACAGCGGGCTGTCCAGCAGGGAGTCCCCCAGTGGGGATGGGGGGCTAAAGAGATCCCGGGCCATGGCGGAGGGCAAGCCAGACCAGGGAACCAGGAACGACCCCTCACTCACCAGACTGTGAGGAGAGAGGATAGAGGAGGACGATGAGGACAATGGCTGATATTGACACCTGGGGTAGATTGAGAGAAAACGCTCGATCAAGTTAGATTGTTTGAGGTTGTTGTTTTTTTTCCTCCAGATGATAAACATTTTTGCACTTCTATTTGCACTGTCAAATGTCAAAACATGTCAACATTTCCTCATACCTAAAGTAGACAAGGAAAATGACGAAATACTGGACTCAAAACTTCTACATTTCAATGTGTGACGCCCTGAAGTTCTTTGAAACAAGCAGTCGGATCGTCATTTTCTTTGCTTCGCTCGAACCCGGGTTGATCCTCTCAGAGAGAAGGTCACAAACCCAAAGCTAAATGCCAAGACGGCACCGGTCCAGATCCGTCAAGCAGTGGGGACGGGTGCAACTCTCCCACTGATGCTGGAGGAAAGTTCATAATGCAAAAGGTGTTTCTTTTAATGGGCGAGCCCTCCCCACAGAGTCAGCGGCCACACATTGTTCACTTTCCATCTAAAGTACACAAAGTTCAGTTTGTTACGGAGCCGCGTATCGGATTTATTAAACAAATAAGAGGACTCAGAAGCACTGACTGTGCCTCGTGGCTTTAAGCGACTTTCTGCTACGCCGCCCTTCACAAAGAACCACGTGTCCCGTATCTTTTCCTCCGTCCGCCTGCCTTTTCTGGATCCCAAACCTTTGTGTGGGCGGGAGATGGTTGGGAGCTCTCAGCTACGCACAGCTGGTTAAAAGGACAGCTGTTTGAGCCGTCCCACAAACATCACAGCACCGGCCGGCCAGTTCAACGACGCTTCCCCCCCAACTTCCAGTAATTCATCGCGGCAGATGTTGCCATTGTTGTGAAATAAATTGTGGAGCGAGACCTACACGCTGTACCGTAAAAGCTCCCTGCATTAATAACAATTCTCTCCCATGGAGCTTTACTACTGGAAACGTATTATTATTATTATTATTATTATTATTATTATTATAGGCAGGAAACAGCGACTTCTCTCTGATCCGACAGATCACAGACCACATGTGAGCTCAATGTAGGATCCCGGTTTACACAGCTGCTTATATATTTATATATGTAAGCCCGGCACGGAAAACACACTTGACTGATTGTGGAACTTCAAACGTTCACTGTTCAGAACCCTCTTAAAGTGGCCGGACTGGTTGCACGCCCTCTCTACTTGTGCACACAGGCCAGACGGAGAGGACGTCTGTTTATCTGGTGTTGGGCTCGCAGGCCTGAACAGAACAGAAGTCCTTTAGGCCCCAGGGGTAAACCTGTAGGTGTGAAACGCCCTGTAAGCTAAAGGATGGCGTAACTCCGGGAGTTCCCGGTGGAGATCACACAGTGCGAAGCAGCGAACTGCTGTCGGGCTGCTTTAAATTCCTTCGTCGAGGGGCGGATTGCGCAATAACTAGCATTTATAACTCGAGTGCATCGAGTTCAAACTGCAATGAAGCTAATGTTTCCCCCCGCTTCTACAGCCACGGATGTCTCTAATATAATATACATCATCATTATTATTATTGATATGTTATATAAATATCTGGGTTGTTTCCAAAAATATGCAGGACCGGACAATCCCAACACAAGATCCCCAGATCTGGTTTTGATGATTTCAACGTAGTATATCGGAATTTAGTGTGCGAGTTCAACGAGAGTTCATTTACAGAGCACATTTTTTTCCTCAGAGGTGGATCAAGGTGCTTTACTTTATTAGGTTTTAAAAATGACACAATTGTTTGTCAAGCAATATTTACTGATCAGCCTTGTCAAACAAAGCAGTTTCGATAGAATCAAAAAGGCACATCTCTCACAACTTGGACAGCAGCCTCGGTGCTGTAATGGGGTCCAAATCCAGCCTTCAAATCATCTGCCCCAGTGGTTCTTCACCGTATTCGCCTTAAAGGACCACTAATCCCAAAATGCCCCCATCTGGTACGATTTCTCTCCAGGGAACCCGCTTCAATATTTTGGTGGTCAGATATAAATTATATTTTAGCTGGCGAGTGAAAACGATGACACATTCGCCTCACTTGCACGGTGAACTACACATTTCTGGGGACAGTTAACACATTGCATGCATCAATGTCGTTGGTTAGCGAGTGTCAAAAGTGCAGAACCGAAGTGCTTATTTATATTTGGCGGATGGCGTCTTGAGAAAATGATCGTCTCGCCTTGCGGCGTCTGGAGTTCGGCGTTTTCTCGCGAGGATTTTGACCGCTGCAGCACCTCTCCATTTTGGCATTAACGGCGCCAGAACCGGGCTGGCATCATCGGCAGAGTTTGAGGAGTGAGTCGGCAACAAAGAGATTGTTTCTGTTTTGCAATAGAATTCTCCTTGAAACGGCTTCTGACGTTCAGACAATGCAACAAAAGACGTGATGAACAACAACTTAAAAAGGTTGTTTTCTTTTTCACATTGTTGCATGAGGTACTTCCATAATCAGCGTGTGTTGGCTACAGTAGACGGTGAAGAGGAGCAGCACAGGGGCAAAGTAATCAAGAACAGAAACTAAGTGACCCATTGTGGCGGCAGCAGACCAGACGAGAAAACGCTAAGTTCACTAAAAGGCCGTTCACTTCCTCCTTTCTCGCCCACTCCCTCGGGGAGTCAACGTCCAAGAGTTGAAGCACATTGCCCAAAATGAGCCCTATCTGAAGGGGGGTTATTTGTTAGCAATCACTGTTTGGATGGGGATCTAACATGAAGCCATGCGGCTTTTGGAAGCAGCGGTGTGGAGAACGAGGACTGCTGGAGAACAGGCATCAGGGTCATGTGGTCAGATCTACTTACAGTACGTTTTGAGCAACAGCTGCACAGATCCAAACAGGAATGGGACCACTTGTGAGAGGGAGCGAGGGTTCTGGCTCAACACGAGTGCTGGAAGTGGAGGAACCGCTCACACCGGTTTCTGGGACCCCCGGGGACCTGAACCCAGAGCTCTCTGGGAAGTAAATGAATCCAGCTCATTTGAAAACATTTCAAGCAACAATGCCAAACTTTTTTTTTTTTTTTTATGGTGGGGGGATTTATTGGAGGGATTTATTTGGGGAGTAAATTGAATATATTTGGGTTATTGTTTTCTGACGTTGCCATGAACAATGGCTTAGTTGAGAAAATAATCGCGCCGGTAAATCCCTTGTGGAAAATAATCACTAATTGAACAGCAAAAGCTGCACTGGCGCAGGTTCTGTTGCCTCGGTTCCCCTTTCGTCATTGACCTCAACAAGTAAATAGGTTGATGGTGATGGCCTTCTAATGATCCACCTGCTCTGTAACTTGAGCTACAATACAGGCAAAGTCGCCGAAACCAGGTCGATGACTAACTCTTACCTGGGTTGACATGACTTCATTGGTCCGTTCACATGACTTTGGCCCAGCCCGTGTTTCCCCATCACATCAAAGAACATTGTGTTTAAAGTCCCGCGGGAACTATAATCCCAGACATCGAGGCTCTATCTTTAGGTGGCAGGAGAAGGCAAAACGGTAAACGCACCGAGGGAGCAGATGACAGCAAGGACACGAGCACGAGAGAGCTTACCTCAAACCAGTCAGTTCCCCTAAATCAGGATCAGTTGCTTTGACCTTAGTGTGACCTTTCTAGGTCTCTGCAGCAACAACAACAAGGTCATGACCCCCAAAACAAACCTCGCCACCACATCTCGATTCAAACAAACTGTGCATGCAGAAAGGTCGCAGTGACACAGACAGCGGAGTGGGAGTGGGGGGAGGATTTGGTCAGATATTTTCCACTCCGAAGGAATTCTTCTCCTGACACCATGTGGGGCCGTGAGGTTTTATCACATAAGCAGGTGCGGGTTGGAGCAGGAAGTTCGCCACACGTACCCGAGAACATTGGCGTGAATTCTCGCCTTCAGCTGTGATGTAACGCGACGCTAAATCATCTATTTTTTTTATAAAAGGGAGCCCAAATCCACTCTTGCATCACTGACTTCTGCTCTGGCGCGTCATAAAGAAAGAAAACGGTAACACCCCCCCGGCGCGAACAATAAAAGTTTGTCAATTCCCCTCGTGGTCAAAAATTACGTCAGCGTCAAGTGAAGGTCACGCGTTACCTCAGAGGCGATCGGAAGCACTTCCAGATGCTGCTGACGGCATGGCCGCCGCTCGGTACCGGGACGCTGCGGTCCCGATCCCGGTCCGCTGTGAAACTTCATGCGTTGTCGGCTCCCGGCGCGCCGTACAAACATCCGCACGTCCTCCCCGCCGGAAGTGACGTGATGACGGTCCGGGCGCGCGCGCGCACACACACACACCCCGACACACCCATGGTGTCGACCAATGGGGTGGCGGGGATTTAGATAAAAGAAAACGGAGCACCCGTCGCTTTTGGATGGTTTTTGTTTCGCAAGGATGCGTTTACTTCTCCGTCTCCCCTAAATAATTTACAGTGGATATGTTTTTCATCACTCTGAGGTTATATATCTAATCTATAATATAACGTGTTTCGTGATCACTACTGAGCTGCCTGTATGTGCGTTGTATACGACGGCATGTTTAGTAGTAGTAGTAAAACATACCGCATGCAGTGTGCAGTATTCACCCACGTCCTCCAACTTCAGGGAATATGGTCTCAAATTTAGGAGTTCAAATTGATAGAGTTCACAATAAATTAGTTCACAATTTCAACTACAGTACGTTTTACTCCATACGATGAATGTATCCAACAACTCTGACTAATAAATATTTTACTCAAAATATATATATATATATATATATATATATATATATATATATATGTACACTAAACTGCTGCTGAAGAGCAAATAAATGTAATGCATCTGTAACAAAAATCTAACGTACCATTTCATATTTTAACTATTGACTGGAGCCATTTTTCTGTATGAGTGTCGACACATAATTGCAAGGGAATCTTCTTATATTGTCTAACTTTAGTAAAGTGTAATAAAGTATTAAAAAGTACTAATTCCACCACTGCATACACAGTTGAGTACTTGAATTGCAATCCAACTGCTATAAACATGTAACAAATATATTTTGCAATGTAATATCTAGCGCCATCTACTGCGTGTTGGTGCTCAGCAGCGTTTCAAAGTGTGCAGCCTGAAGTGAAAGACAAGCACAGTGTTCTGAGGGTGCTCAGCGTGATCGCACACCGGCAGACCAGTGGGAGGGTGTCATTTACGACACCTTGCAGGGACCTCAGCTCAGTCTTCTTAGTCTTCCACACTGTGAAGCATAATTAAGTGAAATACAAAGTGCGAACCAGATATATGCCCCGGAGAGGGAGTACGGGATGCAATGTAAAATTGTGAAAGCCTCGAGTAAACTTTATGTTACATAATGATGAACATATTTTATGTGTACTTTGAATTGTGAATCTTCACCACATAGATACAGAACATCCACACGTTAAAGCCTCATGAAAACCCTCCAGTCATTGTTTGTTCTCATATTATTTCTGAACCAGACTTTATTTATGAATTGATGTAACAGTACAAAATTAAAACATTCATGATTCTGAAAATGATATTTTCAAAGCCACATTTTTTACTAATGTGGATACCATGTAAAATGACATGGTATCCACATTAGTAAAGAATGTGTTAAGCATTGACGGTTGCTATGAAATGCTTAATGTGATTTAGCAACACTCACCCATTTGAAATCAAATGCCAGATGAGTTTCTTCCTGAGTAGAAAGGTGACATGAATGCTCCTGTGATGTATTGTTGCCCTCCAGGAAAGGCAGTAGGTTGTATAGTTAACTCCCGATGGGGTAAAATAACAACCCTGAAACCACACAACCTACTACCTCACCCTGTACGAGCACCATGAAGTGTACTCATCTTGTCTCTGTGTGCACCTATTGTGTAAATACAGCAAGGTTAGTTTTGATAACATTGGAGATAAAAGATATACTCAGAAGATTGTCAGCTAATCAAAGATCCTTTGTGCCGATGAAGGCGCCGCCATTACTGCCGCTTCAGGAAAGACAGTAAGTTGTATAGTCATCTGACAGCTTGGGAATGACCCTAAAACTATACAACCTACTACCTCACCCCAAAGGGCCGTTGATCTGCCACAGTTGTCTCTCGTATCCCGCGGCTGATGGTCGATCTGGGAGAACAAACTCAGAAGACCGAAGGCCCTTCTCATACAAGTTAATCGAATGAAAATAGCTTCTCTATTTTGATGGCTGAAAAGTGTGACTCACATTATTTCTCGTGTGTTATTGTATTGTATATTTTGTGGGTTGATTTTTATTCACTTTAAACATGGTCTCAGAAGTTTCAATAACTTTAGAACTAAGAAATAAAAAAGAAAGTTTCCTTATTCCTAGTACTCTAATTCAGTTATAGCTTTCATCAATTTTGTCAAAACGTGACGTGACCCCGAGAACCTGAACATATGGACTGATTAAACTGCAGCAGTGTATTTTGTCTTCATGTCTTAATTGTGGCACATCAAAGAATGCTGTCAGAATACTTCCTGCGCTTACGCCTTACGTCAGCTTGTCTCATTAGTTTGTCAGCTCTCCTCCTCTCGGGTTTCCTCGGCCTGATGGAGACAGATGAGAGGAGAGAGTGAGCTCCTGCAGTGCGCCAAAAGGTCAAACTTTCACCTCTTGTCTTACACATAAGGACTGCGCGAGAACCAGCACGGTCACACGAGTAAAACACAACAAACAGGGAAATCGGTATATGGTCTGGGTATTACCTACGGCGACACACTACCCCATTAATTTAAAACCAGTCAGGTAAATCCTCTGTGATCCGTCATGCGAAACAATGCTATGCATGTCAAATGAGCAGAAATCTGTATGTCCGTCCGGGAGGCGGTGGTTGTTTCAGAGGTTCCTGAGTGAGACAGCAGAGGCTGCGGCTCTGCTGCGGTCCCCCCCCCCTCCCTCACGCCGGGGGAGGGAGGATAGAGGTGGCGACCGGGGAGAAACTCGAGGAAGCGAACGTGGACCAAACATCTAAAAGTGAGTCACAGCTTTAACTCCTCACAGGCACGCACGCACTAACCGGTTTGTGGCTGTTTTTATTGCAGCTCGGTTATCCCATAAATGCCACACAAATATCGGCGCAAGCTACTTAACGCCCAAGCCTGCGAGGTGGACCTGCAACTCGCTCCCACACGTGCTGTGCTAACGAGTACAATGACGGGGGCGCCTTTTACACAGAGGCGATTCCTGGACCCTGTTTAGATAAACACGACATGAGACATTTGAGGGAATATTTAATCAGCCTTCTGAACTTACAGGCTAGGAGACGGTTAAAATTATGCAGTAAATTTTGCTGTGTGTATCTTGTTAGTTTTTAAATTACTTTAAAATACATATAGAAAAAGAAATAGTCTTATTATCAGATTATTATCGTATCAATGCCCTCAGAAAGCACCTGTATCCAGTAGAATACAGTAGAAGTATTAACTAATGAGAAGCGTAAGTGAGGAACACACTGTAGCAATGATCTTGCGCACAGCTTTTCAAAAGAGCACTCAACAAACCTTGTGGAATTATGGTGCCATAAACCCAAAACTGTGTTAAACTGTCAAGAATGAAATCAAGTCAACATCAGACGAACACATGTGATCGTATCTGTATCCGCCCGTGCCCCAAATCACCCAAAATGTTCAGGCCCATATAAGAATGTTTGCATGTTCGAAATGTAGATATGTGAGCACGGGCCTCGTGTCCCGTCATTCGGCCTGCAGTAAAACAGAACCACCAACAGGTGTCATGTCTGCTCGAGCACACAGGGAGAGCGAGCGCAGAGTGGAGGACTCCCGTGACAATGAGGCTTTGTGCTGTTGTGGGTGCCAGCCGGTGTGCCCTCGTGTACCGTTTCCCTCTAATCTTCATTTGCCCTTTAGGACGCCTTTTCTTTCCCCTTTTTTTCGGACTAATTTCCTTTGAGGAGATTATTTTAGAGCCACACTAGAGACTTACTGATTAAAAGGACATAACACACACAAACCCGGCGGAGTCAGTTTTGATGGTCTGTCCTGGGAACAATACGAGTTGGATTGCTTTCAATAAAGTAACGACACACGGTGTTAATTCGGTTGTGGTCCCGCAGGACGCTGAAACCGGAACCCAAAGGATGCACGCTCCCAGGCACGGACCTCACTGAAAGGATCTCCACACTGGATTCAGCGGACTGGTGGCACACACACGCAGCTGAACGCACCGATGGATGTGAAGTAAATATATACTTGGATCAAATAAAATTCCATAAAGATTATTTTTTCGAAATCTTGAAACTGACCTTGACAATGAGGAGGGCCCAGGAGTTGAGTTCCTAAATACTGCGCCTGCAAATAAAAGAAAAAAACAGACACGTAAAAATAGTTACACACACACACACACACACACACACACACACGAAATACAATGAGGATGCATTCACACAACGGACCAAGGTGTCCGTGTAGTCCTCAGGTCATGAACCTGCCAAGCAGCTACGTAACTGTTTCATTATGTTATCATGGCTCAGAATACTGCAACCGTATTTAGTCTGCATAAATATATTACGATACACTAGCCACTAATACATATACATAAGTATTGGCTTTGGAAAATGACCAGTGGGAATCACATTGCTTTATTTTATTTATTACATCTGTCTAGATTTTATTTAATTAGCTTCTAAAAAATAAAATGCTGGAATTTTAAAAGTCTTAAACATGTTTAAAATATACGAGGAAATAATAGAAGAATCAATCAAATCAAGCTACTATAAAATCCACATTTCTTTGAAAATTTTAAATACTATGCAAATAGTACTTGTACAAATGTACAAAATATATAGTTCATGTTACAAGTCTCCCCTCACACAAGTTCTTTGAGAAAAGGTATTTTATCAATCATAAAGCATAATTGACAATCTATAGAAAATATATAGAAATAACAATATAGTGTATATATTGTAACAAAAAAAACCAGTCTAGTTTAAAAAAAATTAAATTATACAAAAATAGATTTGAAAAAATCCCTATTTTAATCTAAAGATTTAAATTGAGAAATATCATACATATTTATATATATAAATGTATGTATGTATGGACACATGTATCAGTGTGTGTATATATATGTGTGTGTATTTGTTAAAAACAAAACATTTGCACAGAAGGACTTTGTATTGCTCAACCCTTAGATATGGAGATTTGGATTTTCCCACAAACTTTTGTTTCTGCTTCTTTTGAATTCTCCCTGCTAAACAAACGCTAACTTCCTCCGTAATGCTTAACAAATCAAAAGCTGATTTTAATGCCAACTTTTTGAACCGCGAGCAATTAAGTTAGAGCTGTGTCTCCTTTCCTCTTTAACCCTCATCAGGATTGGGAGTGCTCAGAATAATAATCTATATTTGTGTGTGTGTGCGCCTTTGTGTGTGTTTATTATACTCTAATGCACCTATGTGTGATTGGGGGAGACTGTGTGGCCATCTGTAGTTTGTGCATTGTGTGTGTGTGTGTGTGTGTGTGGGTGTGTGTGTGAAAATGCGCAGAGGAGGAGGCTGTGCCCTGCACTCCTTGGGAGAGGCGTGGGAACCCCATTCATCTTAAGAGCCAGGGTTCATTGTGGGGTACATAGCATCAAATGTGTCTGGGTGTTTGCTTGTGCGTGTGTGTGTCTGTGTGTGCGTCCTGTGTGTCTGATTCAAGATGTGGTATCATGGTCTTTATGTTAGACTGAATTCCCGTCAGTTATTGGTGTTCAAACATGCTGTAACAAATCAAATGAATTAACACCAAATTACCTATTGAGAAAAAAAATCACAATTTAGGCATCATAAAAAAATACATTGATTTATCATTAAGCAAAACTTAGTTTTTAGGTGAAAATATATATATATTTAAATTAATTCCAAGGTCAAACAACATTTTATTTTATTTTTCGTCTTCTCGGGGGAAATAGTCTGCCAACATCTTGCGGCATTAACTCCATGACTCTCTAGTAATTCAGAAACAGACCTGACAGATCATACAGTGCAAGTATGCACGGGACACTTTGAAACATTTCCGTGTCAGAGGATCAACATTTTTCCAAAAGTAGATGGGGCTGATCAACAGGCTCCAAATTACGAAACCGGTATTTAAGCGTCTTCATCCACGTTTCCCTGTCGGGCGCTTGAGGGCAAAAATGATTTAATTTTTATTTATCCACACTGCGTGTGAGTGGGTTCAATGCAATGAGGTAGAAAAGATAAAGATAGAAAAGAAGAGATAAAGTATAAAATCTACGGCAGCCTTCCTTTGCGCCGTGAGCACATTAACAATGAGATGTCGATTCTACATCCGTCGAGGTGCTAACTCGTACCTTCACCGGGCCGAGATAGGACCAACCAAATCCAGCGAGCAAAGTGGACCTCGCAGCGTGTCAGACGTGGGATGTAGGTGGGGGGGGACTCGAGCTATCTGGGATGACTCACTCCACTCCTACCTATTGGTGGTTGATCATGGGAGACGCCGATGTGCCGAGGTGCTCAACATGAAGCCGAGTCGACAAAGGGTTCGGAGAGTTGAGAATTTTTAATTAGCGATGGTTTGAAAAAAAGTGATTGATGGAGGATGATTAAAACATGCCATGCTGCAAGGTATCGGTGATGGGTGTAGCACATTGAGGGTTTTAATTATGTGCAAAACATAATACAGATAAAAATTGAGCTGGTATTCTTCCTACGAGATTAAGTAGAAGTGATCTTAAATTCATGACACTTAAACTTATCGAGGTTTCTTATACAGCATACTGCTCTGTTTCGGTTCAGTTACATAAACCTAAATAGTGTTTATATGTTATTCTTCACATTGCATAAAACATTGGTTATAACAGGTATTTCCAAAAGGGCTTGTTTGAGCTATATCAGAGCTATGTGTGGCCACGTGTCAGCAAAAAATGTAATCTTTGACGACCAAAAGCTCGCCATATTCACAAAGATGAGTTTTTTTTCACAAGAAAGCTCAATACAATAATTACTGTTAATATTTTTCTGATAGCTGACTAGGAGAGAGAAAGGGTGAGAGAGAGTGGGAGAGAGAGAACGATACTGCGGGGCTCGGCCTTCTGTGGCAGGCCTTGTCTTTCCCTCGGCCCAAAGTTGCAGCCCTGATCTCTGCTCCCTCCAAAACCGTCTCTCTTTCTCACACACACACACACACACACACACACACACACACACACACACACACACACACACACACACACACACACACACACACACACACACACACACACACACACAACCTGGATTGCAAAACTGCAGGTAGGAATACCCTTAGAGGGGAGAATAGCTTGGATTTGTCTGAGATGCTGCGTTACCCCTCTAGTCTCACTATATTTAGTTAAGCCTGAAGGATCGGACACCCTGATTCCAAACTCTGTGATCGGGACAACCGAATTTGTGCTTTGCCGTTTCAATATCGTCTTTGTGTGTCATCGCTTTGCCGATATAAAACCGCTGAAAACGTCCTACACACACACGCACACAAACACACACTCGAGGACTTACCACTGAGATTTTGGAGACAACTGGCAGACATATGGTGGGGTGATCAGCTATCCTGGGTAAAGCACCGAAATTCGCCGTTGATCATCGCGCCGGGTCCCTCTGCAGCAGCACACGGTCCGTCCACATCTCCTCTCTGTGGAGAAGGGCAGAGAAGGAGCTCGGATTCAGTCACAGAGCTTTGCGCTCCCTGCAAGGAGTAGGCGGGCACGGCAACGAGAGACCCATTCAGAGTCCCGGAGAGCGCCAGGCTCCCTCTCTGCTCCGACGCCTCGTCTGTGAGTCTGTCTGCCCATCTGTCTGGGTTTCAGCCTGCCAATCTGGCCACCTTACCCCAAACCCGTGTCTCTGCCTCAAACCAGCTAACCGCTCTTTAATATTTACAGACCGGCTCCCCCTCGGCTCTCCCCTGTCTGCCGCCTTCTAGTGTGGGACTGTCAGGGCCCGCCACAATAAGGAGGCCATGTGGGTTTCCCATGGAGTCGCGTGTTCCTCCCGTCTGGCAGCTAACAAGGCTTTGAATGAGGAATGTTAGCAAACAGAGCCCCTGAATGTCGGGTGAATGCTAAGCCAGCCAGCCAGTTAGATTGCAGCAGCGGCCCGTATGAATAATGCAGAAGACTCGCCAGGGAGGAGAAGCGGCTGGGCTCCGCCTCCCGCTGCCCCCCTTCCAAACTCCGCCCCTCCTTCTTTTTCTTCTCCCCGCTTGGAACTCAAATGCCTTCACGGGAGCAGGGGAGCGCAGCGGAAAGAGAGGGGGGGGATTCAAGATCACTGCTGCTACTCACACATGTAATACAGAAAAAAGTCCACCAAGAGTAGAATAGTTACACATGCACACGCTATTCCTGGAAATACGTTGTTAAACATACTACTTTCTTCCTGTCGTTGGGAACGCTCACTCTTTTTTTGCCTTTTTTGTGCCTTTTGTTTGGAATTGGCACCTGTCCCAGAAAAAGCCCCGTCCCTGCTCCGCCCTCCTGCTCCCCTTTCACGAGAGAGAGAAAGAGAGAGAGGGTGGGGCCGAAAAAAACCCCAAAGAGGGAGAGGTTTAGAGATTGAAAGGGTGAAGAAGGCGGAGGGCAGGACGGACAGGAGGACAAGAAAATCTGAGAGAAATCATCTGCAGGAATCAAGACTCACACTCACACTGAATCGAGCAGCAGGCGGAGTGGCCGTCGGGGACACAAATTGTCTTCGTCCTCAGCTCTAGGGAGGACTCACGAGACAAGGAAGCATGGCGAGCAATCGCTGAGCACGTGCTCCAGAAAGCCTCTGCATCCCGGTGGAGCCCAAGCCCCCCCCAAAAAAACACTGAAATCCCCCAGGCCAGTTTAACTCTACCGACAGCAGTCCAGAAGCAGCAAAAAAACGTCTGAATGTATGGGGGTGGGTGGGGGACGGGGGGGAAGAAAACGGGGGTCCCGGAAAAACGTCTCTGCAAATGGCGCGGCGTTGTCGAAGTAGGAGCAAAGCGAAGCCACTTGTTGCAGGATATTGAGTAGCAGATCTTGCAGAGGGCAGCGAGTGCAGGCATGGGGTTAAAATCCTGGGACTGGGAGTAGTAAAAAATCCCTCCCTCTTTTGGCACAGGCTACAGCCAAAGGGGAGGGCCTGGCTGTAGAAATAGCAGCAGAGCGTTTTTTCCCCTCTCGTCCTAGTCTACCCGGCCGGGACCCAGGGAGAGAGGAGGAGAGCTATGGATAGAAAAAGAAGCTAGAGCCGAGAGGGGAGGGGGCGAGAGAGGGAGTGGAGAAGAGTTGTGAGTGGAGGAAAAAGGGCTCAGCTGATGATGAAACGGGGACGTGTGCGAGTGCACGCGCTCCACGCATTGTCATCACATGACCGGCGTGACGTGCGCGTGCACGAGGCGGGGCGGGAAGATTACATGGAGCACGGCAGACTCATAAACACACACACACATACTAACAATACCGAATGATTAAAGGATTCTGGAACATCCCGCAACACCTCACTCTGATGACCAGACAATTAACGACTCATCTTTTCCCTTCAGAGCCGTTTCATTTATTTGTGTCCTTTAACACACAACCTCAGGCGGGCAGACGGTGAGCAACGGCGTTCACTTAATAAGGTCAGAAAACAAAGGTCTGCACAAGATAACTGACGGATCGCATCTCAATTGATAATCATGGCACCTGGGTGTGAAAGCCCCGCCATGATTGAACCTGAGCGGCGCTAAAAAAACCTGAAATATTTACCGCAGTGCGCATGCCACGCCGTTACTAGGCCACCCTCGCCATGCGGTGGCAAAATGTCGGGAAGTAACCAAGTGATAAAAATGGATTCCCCCCCTGCGCCGCCCCTTCTGTGTCCAGCCTATTCTGTCTCCCATCCTTTCTTGTACTTTCAGTAGCACTGTTATCGCCTCCAGTAAAAAGAGGAAAACAGCCCTGCTCTAAGCAGCTAGCGTAAAACTAAAGCCTGCACGAGGAGGGTCTGGCTGTCTGTCTCTCTCTCTCTCCCACTGTCTCACCTACCAAACCTCTGCACCAGCCTGCTGAAGGGAATTCACACCCGTCCGGTTTCCACCCGACTCCCCTCCCCGAAAACTTCTCTGTGGCCAAAACGCAGCACTGCCCCTTCGCCGTTTGCAACGCCGTTTGATTTCCCCCGATGGCAGAAAAGCAACCTATTCCGTTGTGGACGCCGTTCCACTTCCCTCCAGTCTTCTCTTTCCATAAAAGAAACCCAGAACTCAGCACGGGCGCATTTCTCTCCCCTCCTCTCTCTCTCTCTCTCTCTCTCTCTCTCTTGCTCTCCCCCCAAAGTAGCAGCGGCACAAACGGCGGATCTCCCGTCACAGGAGCACAGCTAGCTGCTCATGATTTCAATCCGTCTTCATTGCTCACGTGGAGTCTGAAGGGGGAAATTGCACACAAATAAATACGGGGGGAGAAACCTCCTCATGTACACTCAACAGTTTTTTCGTGTATGTGTGTGTGTTTTCTTCTCTGAGAGGAGACGACAAAGACCAGAACCGAGTAAGAGCGATTAAACAGCAAACTAATGGCCGCCGGGGCAATAGCAGTCTCTCCCACCTCCTCACTCTCAGTCCGGGCAGCTGAAAGAAAAGGCGTTACGCGGCCGTTTGTGTTTCTACCTCAGACGACGGACCCAGGGAGGGAGAGAGAGAGAGAGAGAGAGAGAGAGAGAGAGAGAGAGAGCGGGGGGGAGAGAGAGAGTGCACTTGTCTTGCGTAACTCTCCTCAGCTTTCCCAAGTCTCAAATACAACTAAGGCGCCGTGTTCTGCGTCTTGCCGCGCCATCGCACCTCAAATCCGCGAAACGCGCAAACGCAAAAAGTCTAATTTAGAAAAAGAAAACTCACTCACAAATTTCACTGCACTTTTTAAAAACCTTTTAAAGAGACACAAATTCCTCCAAGTCCCTTGATCGGAGCAACGGATCGAGCAGCAAACGGTCGTCCGCTAGAACCCTGTGACGTCACATCTCCCCACGTATCTGGACCAATTGCAATCGGCGCAAGCATTAAACGCTGCTGCAGCGGCACGCGGAATACAAATCAATCCATACTGTCAACAAACGCATGTTTTTGTGTGCGATTTGAAGAGGCTTTTAGCCCTTCTCGCCTGTTCGACACACTGTTTCCAGTCAGTTGTTTATCATCTAACATGTGGCAGGAATTCAAAAAACTTGGCAGAGGCCGCTGCACCGTACGTCGTGGAGAGTTCACTTGAGGATACGACTCCGATTTTATCTCCGTTGCCAACATCTGACACTGGAGCCCTGAGCGCGGCCTCGCCCCTGCAGGAGGCGCCTGCGTAACGCTGCCATTGATGAAACTCCAATATTAACAACCTCATTTATTACACCTCCAGGAGTCCACAACCGCATTATTTTCATCAAGTGCCTCACCCTGCAGGTTGAAGCCAAGCTGCGCTCGGCCTTTACATTTAATTTCAGTGTGTAAAAGCAGTGGAGATATTTTTAATGCATGCGAGTAACTTAAAATCACTGGGTACTAAAAAATTGAAGACAAGGTGCAGCTCGACGATTTAGTTCTGCCTGTTTAAAATAAGGAAGGGAGCATTAAAAATAAAACGGTATTAAATACACTGACCACGGAAAACTTTTGCAACGTTTGCAACAAGGCAGTGAATGCGACCGAGTCAAAATGAGTTATAGTTCATGAGCTGAAACAATGGAGCTGTTGATTCAGTGGTCTTATCAGACCCCCAACGCCTTCACATCCTTATGAATCATCCCACGGGTCCACAGCAACAAACACGACCAGCCAACCTACACACATTCAATTTATAGCACAAACACACACACACACACATACACACACAGGGCTGTACCGCCAAGGGACAGGCAGCACTTGTGAATAATATGAGAACCCAATATTTTTAATAGGCTTATGGCAAAAAATATATATTATAGACACATCACAATGTGAATTATAATTCATTAACAAAATATTCATTCGTTTCATGGCAGGTTGAACAGATAAGAAAACGAACGTCTCTCTCTTTCATCATTAGACAACAAAAAAATACAAATGTTTAATCTATTTCTGCATTTCTTCAAGGCATTAACTCAGCGGTTAATAAAAAGCAGCTATATAAGTAGAACCAGCTGAGAATTCTAGTAAAGAGAGAGGCGAGCCTCTCTGCAGTAGCTGCTCCTGTGAATACATGACTTATTACAGTTAAAGAGTAAAAGTTCAGGCCTCTCTTTCCTTTTTTACAGGCTCCACTTCTATAGACTCATACGTACGACCCCAGTGGTATTTTCCCTTTATAAGTTACTGCCTCCATCCCAGCAAACACAAACACACACACACACACACACTTCCTGCTCTCGGTACGGTGACCAGTGCGGCGGGCCTGCTCCCTCTACAAGGTGGTCTGCTGAGGGGCCCCTCGGCAGCACGTGCCTTGACAACTTCTCTATTACAGCCGTGACCTCCAGGGTCAGACTCTGAAGGGTTGTGAACAAAAGGCCACGACCCCGAGGTCAGAAGTGTAACGCCGGGGGCAGGCGGGGGCCTCGCCGCAAAGGGGAGCGTGCTGTTTGCTTTGAAAGGTAAGGATCACTAACACTGAGGCATAATAAGGATTAAGGGGCCATCCCCTTTGGGATGTCACTCTGGGGCCTCATACATCAGTCTCTATTAACCTCCGTGACCCCTCCGGAGGACATTATGGGGCTACGGGTCACAGTCGCCCAAGCCGCCGAGTCTAAACCCCAGAGTCGAGGAAAACGTTGAACATGGGAGTTACGGTTCTGCCTCACAGGAAACAGATCTTCTACCTTGTTTCCTTTGAATGAAGATACTTTGCGGTGAAGTTATCAGCTCGCAGGATATCTGTAAATATAACAAAAGTCTGACTGGTATTTAAAAATAATTACATTAATACATTAATAAATGTACATTTGAAAATCATATTGAGCAATAGATACGTTTTTATTTCACTCTTTTGATCAGAAAGAGTGAAATAAAAACGTATGACTTCCCAAATCCCGACAGAAAACTGAGTCTTGATCAGAGTGAAATGCAAGGTGAGAAAGATCCGAGAGGCAGGATCACAAAATGGAGGACCGGATGAGACAACATGGCGGCCTGAGTAATGCATTCGCCCACTCACTGCGTATGACTTCCCAAATCCCGACAGAAATGTTGAGCATCGTACAACAGCTCTTCTTTATATGTGAGGCAGTTATTTAAATGATACTCAAATGCCAAAATAGAAAGCTTCATAAGTTTCGAATGACAGATATGAATTCCTTCAGATACGTCGGGCCCGAACAGATTCAAAGATTAACCCTCCAGTGTGTGAGAATACACTGCAGCTTCTATTTCATCGTATTTAGGGATTCATGCTCAAACGTTGCTGGGGATGAATGAAGAATTTATATTGTTTTAAAGTTCACAGCGAGTATGAAAGGGAGATTTTCACACAGTCTTAACCAATACAGCACATATTTATTGTTGTATATATTATTCGAAAAACAAGAAATGTGTGTATACACATATATATTATTATCATAGAGGACAAATAAAGGCTTGAGGTTTGATAATTGATAATGTTATTTTAGCCAGTACATTGCAGCAGTAAAATATCAGCCAGGAATCAAAATTACTTTTTTTAATGTATTTTTTTATGTACAAGACAAACAATAAATAAATGACTTTGAATTAGTTTAAAAAGCTACTCACTCACTAATTTGTCTAAAAGAAAAAGGTTCATCTTAAATTTTGATGTCAAAAGAAAATAGTTTTCCAAAAGGGGCCGATGCAAAAACACAAACTTCCATTCTGAGAAGATTCTGTATTAAACAATAAAATGATACTGAGGTCATTTTGTAATTTTCTAATAAATTTCATTCGGAATTCTTTTTAAGTAATAAGACAAAGTTAAATAAATATTACATTTCTTTTCAGTCAAAGCTTGATCATGACTAAATTATTATATTTTTCAAAACATTATAATTATTGCCCTTTTTTTTCTTTGGGGAATTGCATAAACTCCACTTACGCTGCAGGCTGTGTTGGATAAACTGAAACACGAGAGGATTTTGGTTCACAGTTTGTAAAATGAAAAGTGTTTCGAGAAAGCTTTTTTCCGAGATCTCACATTCCTATGACATTCTTTTAAATCTTTTTAGAAAGTTGGGTTTGTAAAAACAACAAACAAAAAGTATCACTTGCATGAACAAAATAATGTTAAGAGAGTTTCAGTTTAGGACCTTTCAGACTTTTTAAATGCTGCTATCATTAAAAGTACATAGCTTGGATCTAATGTTTTTTTTAATTGTTTCTCCAACTTAAGTACTTAATAAAAATAACATTTTCTTTACCCTATAAACAATATTTAACCTTATATATATATATTACAAATGCAAAAAAGGCAAAAGAGAGTAAAAGTGCTGACTAAGACTTTAAATAAACAAAGTGGTAAAAAGCTTGCAAGGTCAAAAACACCACCGTCGAGTGCTTTTCCGAACATAGTTCACACTGATCAAGAGCACAAAAGCAGCCCTTTGATTTAAACGCATTTCTTTGATAATCGTTTTGCCACTCACCTCCAAAAAAAGGAGCTTCTCCATGTGGAGGGAGCCCTCTCGGCAGCAGAGCAGAGCAAAGGTTGGAGAAGAGGAGAGACCAAATGGATCTGCGCTCGCTACAGCGGAGTGTCCTAAACACCACCAGAAAATAAGGTGAAAGTGACAATAAATTCCAAAGAAGCGGCACTTTTGACAGCCTCACAAGCCCGTCCTTGCTAGCAGCTCTTTGCTCATTATAGTAAGGGCAGTGCTTTGGGAGATGCATCGTGGTACTTTTAGTTGACCATGAGACTACTACCCCCTCTCGGTCACTTTGAAACATCCAGGTTTCTAGCCAGAAGAACATACTTGAGCAAATTTTAAAAAAAATACACGAGACTTTTTTTTATCCGGGAAACAAAGACTCTGATCGTTGATGAAAGGGCTTTTTTCTGTGATTTCTAGAAGCTAAGTGGAGCGTGGCAAAATGTCTACTCTAATCAAACCTAATGCTGCAATCCTTGCTACCATGTTCTTATTCAAGCTTGGATATAAATTCCCTGTGAGGCATAGAAATATCCTGTGACGCAGATGACACAGAACAAACGCTCTGAATGCAAAGTCAAGTCCTCTCAAGGGTGCAACATTTTAACTCAAATATATCTGCTATTTTGATCACACAGATGTTCTGGTTACTAGTTATTAATGAGACCAATAAACAGAAGGCTCATTGAATGCGTTAAAAGGATAAATTAAACGTGTTTTTTCAGACGCATTTTTGATATTCCTCTCACCTGAATCCCTGCTCACATGCCTGGGTCCTTCCTGCATTAATAAACAATTATCTTTGCAGCTGTGATCAAACATCAGCTCACATGCAGGTCTCTGGCATTCTCAGGGAGTGGTCCCACCTCTTTTAAGGGTTCAGACCTGTCGGTTCCACTTTAATGCCACGTCACCGAGCAACTGCAGTGTGGATGGGCTCGCGTGACCTAGCTCGGCCCACAGCCCCAATCCGAACCGTATACCCACATTTCATACGTAGACGGTTGTGGTGCAACCTCTCCATCCTTATTTTAATTTCCCTCTCAAATCCCACAATCTGGCATTTATCTGACTCAGTGACCGCGTGTTTGTTTCAGTGCAGCTCAGATGGCTGACCGTCTAAATGGAGTGTTTGTTTGATTTCCTATCGAGCACCAGTGTGCACGCTTCATGCTTCAGGCTTTGCACACATACGTCTGGAGTTGTCTTGGTTACGCAGGGATACACGGCGTCTACAAGCAGATAATTCACATGTGAAGGCTCTGAATTAGAGAACATGATTTGTATCAATGATCTTCAACTGTGGTTTTCTAGGAAAATCATTCCCAGAAAAAAAATATGTTAATGTGCATGTGCAACTTAATGATCTCAAGGACGCACATGTGTCATAATAAAATTGAAAAATGAGGGGCGCTACGGGTTGGACTTTGTCCTTATTGACATTTGTCCTTATTGACTTGATGCTAGTGATTTATATTTAAATGGATTTTGGAGAGGGGTCTCCCATTTCCAAACTGTTCCTACAACTTTTTGCCAAATGTAAAGAGAACTAAGCAAAGTTAAATAATAAACAGCAATAAACAATAAACAAAATGAAATGTCCAAAACAAACCGGCATCTGACCTGCATCATTATTGTTTGGTAAATCTATACAGCAGCGCAAAAAATATTAATTTGCATATTTTTACATATAAATAACGTGAAAACATTCAACACCTTTTTGTTTTCTTCTCTGGTCTTTCCCTATCCATAGTTGATCTCAATATTAACCCCAAATCATTGTTAAATATTAAGCACTGATCCAATTCTTATAAAAATGTATAGCATTAATTTTGCCTGAACACCAATAGATTTGTAAAATAATTTAAAGAGTAGGTTTATAAATATTACACTCCAACTATATTTGATAAGTACATTATCATTTTTTCAAATGCACACTCTGTAGAGAGATCCCGAACATGTGGATCACTAATAAACTTCAATCAAGTTGCTTTTTCCTTCAAATCATGAACTCACAGCGGTGTCTACTGCAGTGCTCAGTTTGCTGAGAGGGGAAGAGAAACGCTGGCTTTCGGGGGTTAAGATGCTAGCAGTCATGTGCCTGTCGGCTGCAACAAAAGCCTGCCTATGTAGGGTGCATACAGATGGAGCGAGCTCCTTTGTGTGTAGCGTTTCACACAGCCTGCCAGGTCTGGCTCTCTGGACCCTGGCCGCAGGCCTAGCTAGCAGCTTGTAGCACCTGACGCCGGGCGCGCATTTCGCTTTTCTTCGCTTTGGCCCCCGAAAAGTAGTCAAGTTTGAAAGATAATGGAGCTGGATTCCAAATGGTGGGTCATACAGCTCGGAGCTCGCAACAGGCACGGCAGACCGCGGCGCTGTAGCCAGGCGAGCTCAGATCGGCATGACAGGAGCAATTGTGAGCACAACTCCCACTCAGGTCTGCCACAAAATATTTGATGTTTCCCTCTTCTGCAGTCTGTCAAAAGTCTGGTGAAAGGCACTTCAAGACGACTTGTGATGTGCTGATATAAATACAACCAGTGCAAGCTTTGGATCTATGTACATGTGTGTACAGTTGTGCGTGACGTGTACATAGTTCTGTATCCTAGTGTATACACGCTGTCTATGTGTATACTCTGTTATATTTATGCTACGTGCGCCAAGTTGCTATGGCAAGCCCCTCATAGTGTACATGTAAGCGTACACAGGGATTAAACTGGCTAATGCTTGGAAAAAAATGTGACATGTGGGTACAGATCTTAACAAGCAAGAAACTCATGGGTAGGAAAATGTTTCCTATTTTTACTCATTTGCCCCAAACGTTGCGTAGAGAGACTTTATGTGTACATATAATTGATGTGCAGAGCATTCGTACAGTTGGCTCTTCTGTGCTCAGGCATGAACTACAGTTATTCACATTGAAAATGTTACATCCTCAATTTGATTTAATCAATTACAAATAATAATAGTGTACTTAAATGTGGAGGATTAACCTAATTTGGATTCTGCCATTGCACAAATGAGATGTTGCAAAAGAAAATCCATTTATGTCTGCCGGCAGACTCGACCTTGAATAGGTCATTGAGTTTCATTCTGCACTCTACAGTGTGAACAAGTCATTCGTCGGGGCAACGTCACTGTGGTAAATACCTTTTGTGTGTCGTGCTGTTTGCTGAAGATTACATTCTGATAAAGTCGCCCTGTAAATAGAAAAGAGAAGAGAAAAAAAGAAAAGGCGGAGGTGTGACATTGTCGTATTCTTCGGAATTATAAAAATAGACATATACAATAAAGTCTGACAGTAAAGTTTTACAGTATATTCACTCATGAGGAGGAAACTCTTTCGAGTGAGGTGGGGGGGGGTTTGCTCTCCTGCATGAGGACTCTTCAGCAGCTATGAGGATGCAGTCTATGACATTTTAAACGGAGGACATCCCTGCAGCCCTGACTGCGCTCACAACTCACACAATGTGGATGGAAACTTATTGCCGAGGACCAGCAATAGCCGGCTGCTAACGCCGAGTTCATTTTTTTTCAACATTACGCATATATGTATTTTTCGGTTAAAGAATAATATTTTCCCCCCATCCTGTTTGTTTTGGATTGTGGAAGAGCCAAGACAGCCATATGAGATGATCACACTTCATAAAAAGTAAATTCTGCTATGATTCCAAAAATCACAGTCAATTCTTTAATGAGACAATATTCTGTTCTCTCTGAATGTTCTCGTGCAATAGGCCTGCTGGCATACAACTTTGAAAGCACTAATACTGGGTGTAGCACTTTTGTAAAAATCAAGATAATAGGGAGACATAAGAAATGACCCATTCAAAGCTCTACAATGGCAAATGACATTAATAAGAAACTGTCAGTCACTGAATTTAAAAGACCTTTTTACAAAGTGAGCAGTTATTGTAAACAATGTGCATTGCCAGCCCCAAGCTAGTTTGACATACCTAAGCTAACGGCTTTCAATATTCTTTAATATTCTTTCGTTTGTTTTAAGTATGAAACGGGGGACTTTTTTACATAGTGTCCTGAGATAAGAGATGTAAAAAACTATGTTAAAGTGTTACTTTATCTCTGTAGAAATGCTATAATGGTCATTTATTCCTGCTATCACATTTGGCTTTTGAAGTGCATGTGGCTCCCAAATATGTACCATTTTGTCAGCAGTGTAAATACTTAATCAGGGAAATTAAACTCTGGAGGTCTGCAGTTGCACTTACACATACATGCAAAATAATCCATCTTTGTCACTCAAACAAACTACTGCTGCTGCTGCTATAAGTTGTATGTTAATTAAACCTTCTTAACTGCAGCCTGGAGAGAATCAGCTGCTACTTTCTGCCCCTTGCTGTTTCCTGAAACACACACACGTATATGCGCCACATGCTTGAGTTACATACGACCAGGAGAAGCCGGCCGGGTGCCTAACAACCACAGCGACGGAGGAGACGCGAGGGAGAGAGAAAAAAAAGGTACCCTAGCGTGTTAGTTTTCTGCCAGGGAGTCCCTATTGACCTGTTAAACCTTTGTGACTGGAACAAATGCAAATGGCGCTGACTTGTTCACACAAAATACTAAAGGCCCATTCAAATGAGGCCCCAGGCCACAATGAAGCAGCGGTCGAGCGCTCTGTGGAGGCAGGGTTGCCCCCAGTCTGAGGGAGTGAGAGAGACAGATTATTTTAGCTATTGCACAGTTAATTCTGGTTGTCTGGTTGAGAGCAACCATCCACTTTCATTACTTCTCCTTCATGAACACAGACACAGAGATAAAATTACCTTAAACCTCTGTGGTAATCTAGCTCTTACTAAATCACAAACCCTGTTGAACTGATCTGAACATTAACCCATAATTACCCTTCATGAAAAACTTTGTAATTGGAAGCCAGTGGACCTGAACTGTTTCTGTTCACAACATCAGTCTTGCTTGATTATCAGACACTGCTTAACCCACTTCAGCTTATGCATGGATACCCAAACCCATGTTTCCCTTTGACAAATTTATCATACTTTTTAATGCTGTCCATGGGGAAATAGGGGAGGGGAGTGATGAGAGGGAACAAGCGGGAAAGTGGCAGAGAAATACATAGATATGATCTCAAACAGAGAACAAACAAAAAAGCTGCAATCCTCCTGAATACATTTAAACAAATAGTCCCTGTAGGGGAAACAAATAGTCCCTATAGCTACTGTGATGATCAGTAGTTACATATTTGTGTCAATGTTGAAAAAACTAAAACCGCCTGAGGTGTTTACATGTCGCAGAGCCAATCCAGCCAACGTTTTAACAATTTTGTTTATGTGCTATTCAAACCGAGATATGAGATTTGTATGAGTCAACCCACAACGGGGTTAACTCATTCTCCCTATGAATTAAGTGACTAATGCTAAAAATTAAGGCAGTTAAGGCACCGTGGGTGGCTTCAGAAATATGTACAGAAATGCCAAACAAACCACCTATAATCTTTACTACGACATGTATCTGTTCTTGGCCTATTTGAATGTAAACTTGACGCTTTCTGTGTTTGACTTCTGCCCGTTTTTGACCCGACGTAAAACTTTTTCTGATAATGGCTCCTAGTTTTAAGAGATACCCCTATTTTTTCCCCCAATCAACCACATCTAAAGAATGCGTAATACACCTTGCAACGGGGTGAACAACGCCTCCTGACTATGGTAAAGGTTGCTGTCCTTTCCTTGCTATGAGTTTCTCTGAAACATTTCCTTCATTCTATGAGTCCTTGCCAAAAATGCTGTTTCTTAAAAGTCCAATCTTCATCTGATACTAAAAGAATAGTATTTGGGACATTAGGCTCTTGGAGGTTATGGAGGGCTTTCTTGTTCCTTCTCTTCTATCCAAATAGGAGATTAACAGGAGCCTAAGGATGGCTCTCACCATCACATCTGGACAACACCTGATTTGAAGCATGCTGCCTACCAGACCTCCACTAAAACCACTTTCATTCCAAACGAAGGGGTGTGATGAGGTCGAGCAATCTTCATCCATCCTCTCGATCCAAAACGCAGTAAATATGGAAAGACTACATTCATAGTACAGGTGTATGTAAATATATTACATTTCCTTTTTATGACTCGCACCTGCCTCGCCTAAATTACTGTTTAAAGTTATTTTTTATTTCACTGACTCAGTGGTTCCTTTGAAATCAGTTAATTTGTGTCCCTTATTTGGATTAACCCGATAAGGAGATCCAATATTTTGCAGATAATTCAATATTGCAGAAATGAGGTATGAAACTGCGTAAAAAGCAGTAACCCCAACGTGTCGCAACATTATCCAATTCCTCATATCACATTTTCCTTAACCGCTTTTCCTTCCTGCCTTGATCAAATTCTCCAGTCACCTTGAACTCCTTATGTTGCATCTCCTGTTCAGTGCCATTCCCTATGATCTGACCACCCCCGCCCACCTGCACATCTGTTCCCATTTCCCCAGCAGTAACATACACCGGCCCACTTATATTCGTTGCCAGTAAGATTGCTTCTAAGCTTCTGCCTTAGTGTTTCAGCCATTTTCTCAGCTGGCCTAGGTTTTGCCTGTAATGACCTCCTGCCTGCCTTTTGGACTCCTGTTCTCCAGCCTCATCCCATATTGGAGATGATGGCCTGTTATCTATCCTGTGTTTCTGTGTTTGACTTATACCCGTTTTTGACCCGACATAAAACGTTTTCTCATAAAGGCTCCTAGTTTTAAGAGATCCTCCTTTTTTTTCCCAATCAACCACATCTAAAGAATGCGTAATACACCTTGCAACGGGGTGAACCACGCCTCCTGACTACGGTAAAGGTTGCTGTCCTTTCCTTGCTATGAGTTTCTCTGAAACATTTCCTTCATCCTATGAGTCCTTGCCAAAAATGTTAGGTTCAAGCTTGGAGCTCTCTGAGAGTCTTTGTGAATACAGCCGCAGATCTTTTTTTGTCACACATCAACACATTGATTTGTTGGATTAGGTGTAAACATTTTCAAACCAGTTTAATATAGAGCCAAACACTGGACCGGCATACCGAGTTTGACCACTAAGTGCAACAACTCCAACAAAACCCGAGAGATGTGCTTGTTGTGGCATTTTTACCCAACATATACTAAGTAAATCAGATAGACACACGTCGCTATGGTGATAACTATAGCGTAACTGCAAACGTTATACTCACCATCACACACAAGCACTCTCCCTTTCTCTACACTGCCAGGCTTCTAACACTAGGTAGCCAAAATCCATCTAGTCGGAAACCGAAAAAGCCCGTTGACCCCCAAACACCGTCCTACTCCTAGCGATTCCAGCTAGCTTCTTCAAAGGGCGACTTATTCTCCCCGCCCCTTCCCCTCTACACTACGTCACTAATTTCCTGTGCTTTTTTGCATATCTGGTGATGCCTTTGGTCAAACCACTCCTCTTGCAGAAGTATCACATGCAACATGTGCAGTGTCTTTTGACGGAGAACTCTTGCTTCTAAACAGTTCATTTTGAACTACAGTTGTTTGGAAGCTCCCCTTTAATGCCCTCAGTCCTCCTGCTACCTGTCGGCCTCCTCCTGACGGTAACCCAATCATTCTTTTTTGACCTTTTTATCCAAACTGCTCATATTATTTCTCTGCCCGAGTTACCCAAGGCCAAGGGGACATGTTTTTCACCTGCCTGGTCTCCCTAGAGACACTGTCTCTGAATGGCAACCTAAATTCTGGGACAGGTTTTTGACCTCTGGCATCAAGTATGTTGCCTCTCTTCTCGATTCCGCCTACAGTGCAAAAGGGCAGATAAGGCGGAATAATAATTTTAATTTTATTTATTCATCAGATCACACCCACAGGTGTGGACCCCTGACTAAGATAGATAAAGTAGTTCCAGAGATAGGGCCTTTTTTATCACGGGTATGCCATTTTTGAGCAGGGGTTCAAAGAAATGGCCTGGTTTTCAGGAGGTTTTAACAGTTTTTGATAACATCATTACATGGAGATCCATCCTTCTTTCAATGTCTCCTGGACAAACATGTGAAGGATAGCCCACCTGAATCAGGATTTTTCCAAAAGCGTGCAACATTTTTTCAGCATAAAAAATGAACTGAAATAATACAGCATGAAAAGCATTG